CAGACCTGGTTCTCTGGCACACATGCTGGCCTGGGACCCTCCCTTTCCACCTGCCCATTTAGGACCCAGGCACGTGCTTGGGACCCTACCAGCCAACCTGCCCGAAATCGAAGCATGTGCACAAATCCCCAAGCTGGGTCCATCACCAAACCATGTCAGCATGCCAGCTTGGGGTCCTACCCTGCCCCCAACCCTCAGGACCCAAGTACGTGTGTGGGTTCCCCGTCCACCTTTATTAGCCATTTATACATTTTCTTGGAGAACTGTTCAAATCCTTTCCAATAGGGTTATTTTGAGTTCTTTTTATACATAACATTTCTTTATTTGCAAGAGTTAGAGAGAGAGAGATAAAGAGCTTCCATCCTTCGGTTCACACGCCTGCCCCCCATTTAGCCATGGGGCTGATCTGAAGCCGAGAGTCAGGAGCTTCTTTCAAGTCTTTCACACAAGTGCAGGAAGCCAAGCACTTGGGCCATACTCTACTTCTTTCCCAAGCACATCAGCAGGGAGTTGGATTAGAAGTGGAGCAATCAGGACTCAAACCAGGGCTCATATGGAATCCTGGCACCACAGGCGGCCTTACGTGCTATACCACAGCACCAACCACAGTTCTTTATTTATTTTGGATATAAATCCCTTATCAGATATATCAATTGCAAATATCTTCACAGTCTGTGGTTTGTCCTTTCATTTTTCTAACATCCTTGAGGCATAGGTTTTAATTTTGATGAGGTCTATCGAATTTGTCTATATTTTGTCATTTACTTTTATCTTTTCCCAAATTAACATACTTTTATAGTCTCTATATGAGATCACAGCTTCTTTACTAAAAGCTAACTGAACTTTTAGAAATATACTTACTGACAAAATGAAACAAAATAAAAACCAGATTTATCTTATCCCAGTTGTGCGAGCACCCTCAATTAGGATAGAATTCTGTTGGCCAAGTGTGTTAATGAAAACTGCTTTAGCTGCATTTCTCAAAATTGAAATAATTCAACACCTGACCTTAAAATTTATATTTAAAAAATACTCTGAATTGTGGTCACTAAGAACGTTGCTTGTCAGGAAAGCTCTTGTGAAACATTTGTCAAGCACATAAAATGGCATATAAGTCAGGTATAGTCAGCTCAGGGAGATTTGTGTTCTATTGATTGCGTAGCTTAAGTAATTTTTCATCACTAACATACGATTTAATAAGTATAAGTAGTTAAAGATTCTGACTTGGCACTAGTCATTAGCATGTAATTGAACTGGTAAAGAAGATCGGTTAAAGCTCTGTTGATTACCACCTTATCTTTGAAAGGCAATTAAAGACCTCAATCATTGCAACAAGATTTGATTGTGCAGCTTTTATTGGACATTGATCTTTCAGCGAAGTGCAGTTACATTTTCCATTAATTTACAGTAACACAGTTTAACTCCGATACCCTAGACTGTTGACCCAGGTGAGCTGTAATGGTAAGGACTTGTTTAGCTTCAGAGGCTCCCGAACGCCATTGCTGTCTGAAGGGTAAGTGCTGAAAAAAAGTGGCTACCTGATCTCCCAGCTTTAGGATAAGGTTTCTGTTATCTGCGTTCACTTTGAAGCCCAGTGAAACCAAGATCCTTGCCTTTAATATCAGGCTGCGCATGTAAACACATCACTCATTCTTCAGTACAGTTCAAATATATTTTATGCAGAAATGAAGAGACTTTCTGTGCTTTGTAATTATGGGTGAACATAAAAATGGCACATAATAAAATATACATTGAAAAGCAAATAATGTCAAATGTTTCAATTTTTACTTCAGTCAACAATGAGCAAAACATCAAATTAATGACTAAATTGGTGTGATGAGAAAAGCTACCATTTTGTCCTATTCGATAGGCTAGGACATCAATGGTGACAAATGAGGGGTTTTAATATGAGCATCGTCTGTAATGCTCCCAGTTGTTTTATTCCTTCTTTTCTGTGCTTCACAACCTACACAAGGACTAAGAGTTTTACCTACAAATTTCTGCTAATGCTCCCTCATCGGTCTGTACAGAAATCACAACAGAAGAGATGTGAGGTTGTTCGCTATAGGCCATCTGCATTTTTAAAAGTCTTTCCTGCGTTATTTTCAAGATCATACACCATTAAAGAAGTATAACCAGAAAAGTTAAATTGGTGGTTACGTTAAAGAAGAAAATGTGTCATCCCCAGCATGGCAGACACCCCTGAGCTGCACCTGTCACCAGCGGCTGGGAAGACATGTGCACAGATTCAGCCGCCAGGACACCTGCCATAGGTGCTTTCCTCTTGCCTGGCTTTTGAAACCCTTGGATGAAGGAAATCTTTGAATGATGAACATCTGAAACAGAAAAAATGTGGATGGCAGAAACAGCTTTTGCTGAAATAGAAGCAATGCGGGCGTGGGCTCACAAACATGTTTGTGATACATTTTTAAGTGGAGATGTCTCTTGTTTTGTTCTTGGGTTACAGATGGAAAAACCTAGACACACAGGGGTAGAGTTATTGGTCTCAGGCCAAAAAGGAAGAGAGCACTTATACTAAAGATAGGTTGAACCTCTCAGCTCCCTCCTTTACTCTCTATCCCTTTTGGGCTGTGATGCTTTCTCCATGAACTATGTGACTATGTAACTTGAAAAGGAAAAGATGTGGGACTGGTGTGATGGATCAACTGGCTAATCCTCTACCTGTAAGTGCCAGCATCCCCTATGGGTGCCAGTTCTAGTCCCGGCTGCTCCACTGCCCATCCAGCTCCTTGTTTATGGCCTGGGAAAGCAGAAGATGGCCCAAACCCTTGCGATCCTGCACCTGTATGGGAGACCTGGAAGAAGCTCCTGGCTTTGGGCCAGCTCAGCTCTAGCTGTCGTGGCCATTTGGAGAGTGAACCAGGGGATGGAAGATATTGCTGTCTTTCTCTGTGTAAATCTGCTTTTCCAATTAACATAGATCCTAAAAATGAATAAAGGAAAATGTGTGAAGCATTCCTGTCCAGTGGGAAGCCATCTTCAAACTAAAAGATCCACTCCACGACTTTAGATCCTATGATGAGATTTTCATTTTTCAACTATACCCTTAGCCAGCACAGAGTTCATCCTTCACCATGATCAAGTCCCTGGGAGCAAGGGGTCTATTGATTTTCATGTAATACAAGAAAATATTACATTTGCTTAATTGTTACACGGTGAGCAAACCAGACAAGAACTCAGGGCGCTATTTAATGCTGCGAGCAGCAGAGAATTGCAGGGATCGATCAGGTAGTTCGTCAAAGATGTTCTCCAAGGAGACCCACCCATCACCGTATGGACAAGTCACAGCGACTGTGACTATTGAAAAACAGGGGAGCAGAGTCAGCAGGACACATTATCAGAAATCAAACAGGCAAGTGCGAAAAGAGGCGCTGTTCTACTGAAAAAGCTCTATTTGTAGTCTGGTAATTAAAAGCCATTTTAGCAGCCTTGTGTTGGGGCTAGAGCCTCAACAGCAAGTATTGACAAGACGGGCAGCAATATCTGACATCAAACTTATGAGCTGTAGTTATTTAACTTTGCCCAAATGCAGCGGAAATCTTTTCTAGCCTTCTTTGCAAAAATGCTAATAAGTCACTTTTATTATTAATGAAGCTTAATGGAACACTATCTCCTTTGTGGGAGCCATTCATTTAACTAATGTCCAGGATATTCCTTCAGTCTAAATATATTGGCATAAGTACTTGTTTGATTAAAGTGTTATTTAGAACTGCTTTTAGACAGGTTCACACTGTGCATACTGGAAGAACGGTTCCCTCTCGGTTGGCAGTGTTAAAATGTCTCCCTGGAACCAGCCCGCTTCGCACAACTTGGTTACTCTGTCGCTCTCACCTCCATCACTTCCGCTCACTTTCCCTACCCACTCTCCAGAAGAAAACAGCCAAAAGTTGGTGAGGCTTGCGCTTTTACAAAATGGCTTTGCTAGGAAAATGCATAAACGTTGCCGAAAAGCAGCAACACATTAACATAAAATGATATATAATGTATGTTTGTAATTATGGAGGACATCATAAATCTTAAACACCCATTGGTTTAGAAATTAAACAGTAATACTTAGTTCTCCCTAAATTACTCCAAATTTCTGGAATTTCCCATTCGTACGGGTATTTGTGACTACCCCCAAGGATAAATTTTTTTTAATGACTCGGCTTTCAAAAATGCAATTAACTTAATAAAATTCTAATGCAAAAGTGCCATCGGGTCTCTAAAATTTCAGCCCACTCCCCATGGCCAATGTCTATGGCTGTGTCGCATTTCAGTTAATTGCCTTTAGAAACAATTACCAAATTTATTTTTTCTGGGCCCTCTGAGAAGAGCTCGGCTGGTCTCACTGCTCCAGCAGGACGCTGTTTTACCTTTTTCGTGAGTGTTAGCTTCAATCACCTTGCTGCTAACTTAAGTTAGCCACAGTTGGGGATGACATTTTTTAAAAAGTACTGTGGTGCCACAGTCTTCCAACAGAAGTCCCCACATTTAACCCATATCCCTCCATGTCACCTCCAGAAGGGGCCAAGGGCTTTTGAACATTTTCATGGATCAGGCTGGCAGCAGATTAGTTTAGATTTCACACTGCAATTAGAGCCTCATCAATTTCACCCACCTTGCATTCTCTTCATCACAGGCCCGAGGATCTGCCATTTGTTTCTCCTGCATTATGTAAAAGAATGCCCCCTCATCTCAATCCGGGCATCTGTAATTTGCTCTTTGGAGTTGATTTAAACTATTAATACCTAACTACAAGATCTAACTACATACATCATAATCATTTCTCACCTGTGGTTTAACCTACTTCCCGCGAAAAACAAAACAAAATAAACAACAGAAACAAACCTGCCAAGGTGCTTCACATGTCAGTACTTCCCATTAGCTAACCAGAGTACATCCGTGCATAACACAGCCTCGAAACGCACGACTCTGCAGAGCAGTGACTTGTCTACCAGGAACCAGACAATGCAGCAGGAGAAAGACGTTTGTAAAAGTTTTATTTTGAAGGCATCAAAAATAAATATTTCATATATACACACAAGAAAAGATCCAGGAATTTATGGCCTGCAGTGCACAATTTTCAATACATGGCACCTTCGTCTTCTTTATTCAGAAAATAGACTGTTATGGGTCCGTGACTCGTGTACACAGTCTCCGTGACTCTGGCAAAGAGCCAGGAGCCAAGTCCGTACAACAACGTTGGAATACCTGAAAAACAAATGCACGGGTTCTTTACCAACAGTGAGACTCACTGCTCGGGCACCTGTTGTGTTCCCAACCACAGCCGCTCTGCAGCTCCTGCACACAGAGTGCCAAAATCTGCCCTGATGAGGCTCTAAGCTGACCTGAGAGCTCAAATACACCTGAGCATGATCAACAGGGCGGCGAGTCTGGGAGCCTAGATGTTAGTCGGAAACGATGGATAAGGCTGATGAGAAATTCAATTCAAAGTCCTTCCCTGATTCATTACCTGCAGATACTTACAGAAGCAATTATATAAATAAATTATATATATAAATATATATGTATATTTTGCAAACAAGCGAATGGAGAAGAATATTCATTCATGTACTTGCACATACTCTTGGTTATTAGTCAGGAGCTGAAATTAACAAGGCCAACTCTGCTGGTCTTCAACCTCAATATTAACATGAGCGGCTAAAGCAATTTTTGTACAACTTTAAAGAAACTGGGCCACACAGCTGTCTCTAAAAACTAAGGCAAAATCCGACTCCGGGGAAGGCATTATAGCCCAACAGGCGTGAGAAGCAAACACTCCAAGATTTTTACAAAGCATCTGAAAACAACCTCTTCGCAGCCTACTAGGAAGGGGGGCTGTAGCCGCCTCCAACACACACCTCTCTTGCGGGATTTTTCCACTGATGAGATTTTAGGGTTTTACTAGAGACTGGAGGCTACTGGAAACTGGACACACACTGCCTCCTGGGGTGGGGATTTTGTACTCCCACACACTGATACTTGTGTTTGACACCAAACAAACTTTCACAATCCCTAGCTTTGTGAAGGCACCTCTTTGAAATTCAATGGCTGTTAACATGTTATCCACACATGTATAAAAACCTCAGGCACATGAATCGATAACAAACAGTGTAGACTCCGACAAATCTTAATTGTATTGCTCTATACAGGCTATGGATGGAAGGTGCAGTTTAAAAGACCAGCTGTACAACTGGAAAATCACCTTCCTTCTAGGGAACAGGGGCAGCAACCTTCACTCGCTACATTTTTTTTTTTTCCCTTGCTTTTCTGCAAGAATCTGCTGAGTGTAAGATTGTGAGTGTAGCATTGTGTCGGACCACTTGGAGCTGCATTCCGGCCACTGTGATGCCCCAGACACTCATCAGGGGACGCGCTGCTGGTTGGCAGTGCGCACAGGAATAACAGAGGGGGGAAATGCCCTTTAGGTCGTCAGCTCCTATTTTGAGGAATATGCTGGGTCACAGTATGTCCTTAACACAGGATTCCCTGAGCCGCCAGTGGAATCGACAGCACTGGCCCCTCTGCTCTGAGAATGCTCCAAAGGGTTTCTCCAACGTCTTAAGGAAATGCTACCAAAAAGTTCCAAGGAAAAACAGATGAATACAACAATTTATAAATCCATCATTTATCCACCGTGGTGGGGAAACAAAGAACCTGAATCAGAGAGGCAGAAGTGAGAGGGAAGATATTTAAACAGAAACATTTTACACACAACGTCACAGCTCTAAGAGCTGAGCACCAGTGGCTTGTGGAATAAAAAACAGGCTCTAGGAGCAATTCTTGATTTTCTAACTATACTGAGAGTAAAATACATAAAAGATGGCATGCAAGTCGATAAGTCTCTAAAAAATGGTTGGTGGCATGCGGAATTTTGTGTCTTTAATATTTAATAGTTTCTTCACAGTTAAAACACTAATAAATTTTTTTTTCAGTTAAAATGGAGGCCCGATCAAAACCTGCTAGTTTACTAATAACTAAATTAGCTCTTATTAAGAGAAAACTCAGAATCATAATCAATCAGCAATTTGGTCTTTCGAAAATTAGCCACCTACATAATTTATACAGTAAAGAAAAAAGAAAAAGAGTCTCAATCTGTTACATACATGCTTTCCTGTTTGTAACGGTTCATGAAAAATGAGCATTTTTCTTTTCCCCAAATGACATGAAGCTTATCATAACATCAAAATGAACTTGAAAATCAATTCTGGGCCTAATAATTCATTTTGAGTCAGCTGAACAGTAGGTAAACCACTGTCAAATTAAGCACTTAGAAAAAATTAGAACTTAGTAGTAAGTCTCCAATTACCCATTCATTCCAATGGTAAGTTGCTTTTCTTAAATCTCAATCTACTTCCCAGCAGGACACCCAGGCTGACAAACCCATCAGTAAAATGTCAGTTTCCCCAGAACGGAGGGCGGGGGAGCGGGAACCAGGGGGGCCGGGAGATCTTCATTATTTACAAAATGGGAAAGTGAGTGACTCCGCTAATGACTAATTGGGAGGAGAAGAGGAATAAAAATCCTGAGCGTTCATATTAAATAGCGCAAGCATTTGATGGTCCGGAGGGGCCACTACCCTACACAGAGCAGGAGGACCCCACTCTCTGATTCACATTTCCTACCTCTGGCAAAAACAAAACACAAACATCAGCGAACTGGAGAAAACATCCTTCTTCAAAAAGATCCCAGAGAAAATTTCATGTGAACAGGGTAGGCCGATGTGTAGGAAAGCGTGAGAGAGCAAAAAAGTTTCTCTCTTTTTTTTTTTTCAAATTCTTTATTTCCATGTAAGCAGGATTTTCTCAATTTCCAAAAGACTATTAGATCAGTCTTTTACGCTAAAAGACAAAAACCTACAAAAATTGCCGTTTCGTTTTTCAAAAGGTTTTGCTTTTATGTAGGGAATTTAAAGGAAAAAAAAATTAATATCCATATCTAAACGGAGAAGCCCCTCAAAATGAAGGTTATCTTCCACAAAACGCTTTAAAACTCGACAATCTTTTGTTTGTTTGTTTGTTGTCTTTTTAAAGAAGGCATCCTGTTCCCCCGGTATACCCAATTTTCTTTACATCTGCCAAGAATGATTTCCTCGGATCTGGTACCCGCTGGGCTTCACTCTCCAATCTGGTCATCAGTCCAGCCTTCCTAAACGATTCGGAGTCACCTCACCTTTTAACTTCCTAGCAATCTCGGGGGGTGAAGTAAACACAGCACCTGCTCCTCACTGTGCAGACCCTGCATCTGTGACTTACCCTAAGCAAAACACACACACCCTACACCAACTTAAGAGGACAGGTGGGTGGGGTCCTGGTCTTGACAAACTGGAGGAGCACGTGGTTCATCTGCCCCGTCTAGATTTTTTTGAATTCTTGGAGATTTTTGAGGTCTTTTTAAAAAGTCATCTGTTAACAGATTAAAAACTGATATTTCCCCCTGCTCCTATTGCAGGCACAGGCCTTTCGTCCACCACTAAAACCAGAAAGAAATAACTCTGTAAGAATTAGACTATTTCCAGGAAATACTAAGGAAGCTAAGTCTGGTAGCACTGTCTTAGGCCTGGCACCCTGGGATTCCATACAAAGAAAACAATCTTTAAAAGTTGGAGTTTCATTAACCCAAACACGTCCCTCTCCCGCCCCCGGCCCACACTCCTTGCAAAAAGATATTTCTAAACTGGGAGCCCCTGAGGCAGTGCGGGGAGGGTGCCGGGGATGTCTCCGCGCACCCCTCTTGGTACTGGCCAAAGAGGGGGTCCTCATGGGGCAGAAGAGCGGTTGGACACAGCCCCTCCCGCAGCGCAGGCCTCGGCCGTGACCGTGACCGTGGCCGTGGCCAGCTGGACTTCCTGCAGCAGCAAGCTCGGGAGCGCAGAGGCTCAGATCGCCTGAGCAGCCCTGCGTCCCCGCGCCCCCAAAGGCCAGGCCTTCCGGGGTGCGCTGGGAGGGGCCTGCGCCAAATGTGGAGGACTGGGGGCGACCGGCCCCACTCACCGAGGTTAATGACCTTGAGCGCCGTGAAGAAGCGATTCTGGCCGGCCAGGTCCTGCCAGGGGGCCTTGGAGCAGTGATACTTGATGAAGGGGAAGCAGCCGGTGCGCAGGACGTGGTAGTTGGCGCCTTGCACCGGCCAGTTGAAGTGCGAGAGGCCGAACTGGTCGTTGTGGACAGCGCTGTAGGGCACGCAGAAGGAGGTCCAGTGCGGCAGGCGCCGCTGCAGCAGGTGCTGCGTCAGCACCTCGGACGCGCGGGGCTTGGGGTGGGAGGCGACGCCCGCAGCCCCCGGGCCGCTCGGTCGCCGGGGCAGCAGCAGCAGGCGCAGAGCGGCCTCGTGGGCCCGCCGCAGGGCCTCCATGGCCACCCCGCCGCGCCGAGCAGGGCCGCGCTCGTGCCCGCGGAGGCGCGCGGCTCGGGGGCGCGGGCGGAGAGCGCGCTCGCGGCGAGCGCCGGGGACGCGCGATGGGCGGCAGCGCGCTGGAGGCCGCGGGGAGCGTGCACAGCAGCAGGCTGGCGCCCCTCGGCGGAGGGTGCCGCCCGCGCCGCCTGCCCCATACATACCAGTCGGTGGTGCAACGAATGCCCGCCTGACCGTGGGCTCCGGTGTGGACAACGCGAGAGTGGTCTAAGAAGAGGAAGTTAAAAGGAGAAAATATGCGTTGTGAGGATGCTGTTTTACCAAGTCGCAGATAGTTCAAAACAAAAAATGTGTTTTAGAAAAATGCTCCCATGTTGCTCTGAATCCCAGACCTGGAGCCGTTTTAGTTAACAACCTTCTTCCTCCTCAGCCTCTATGGCTTCAACAGGACCTTTCCTCCAACGTTGCAGCTGCTTGAGGCAGTGGCTTAGGTAGACACCTGCTTGCTGAAGCATTTCCTTGGAACATATTTGTTGGAAAGGCAGAGTGACAGAGAGGGGAAAACAGAATACTCCATTGGTTGGTTCACTCCCAGAATGGTTGCCCTTTCTAGCGCGTGGCCAGGTCAGCAGCCTGGAGCTTCCTCCAAGTCTTCCATGTGGGTGCCAGGGCCCAAGGCTTTGGGCCATCTTCCACTGCTTCGCCAGGCCACAGCAGGGAGCAAAAGTGGAGCAGCCAGGACACGAACTGGCACCCAAATGAGATATCAATATCATAGGCAGAGGCTCAGCCTGCTACACCTTAAAGTGTGTGTGTGTGTGTGGTTTTTTTTTTTTTTTTTTAAGATTTTAAGTGGAGGTGTGATGTGGTTAGATTTGCCCAGAGTATTGGAGCTTGTGTTAAATGTAGGGTGGGGCATTTGGTGCAGCAGGCTGATTTTTCCTCGCATCCCATACCACAGTGGCTGGTTTTGGTTCTCGACTCCTCTGCTTCCAGTACGACTTCCTGCTGCCCCGAAGTATTTGGGTCCCTGCAACTAAATGGAAGACCCAGATGGCTTTTGGCTCTAGCATGGCCCATCTCCTAATACTGAAGAACTTTGCATGGTGACCCCCCCCAAAAAAAACAATATGTTTTCAAACAAATCAACCTAAAAAAAAGAAAAGAAAAGAAAAGAAAAGAAAAGAAAAGAAAAGAAAAGAAAAGAAAAGAAAAGAAAAGAAAAGAAAAGAAAAGAAAAGAAAAGAAGTTTTAGGGCCCAGCACCATGGCTCAGCTGGCTAATCCTTCACTTCCAAATGCTGGCATCAGATATGGGCACTAGTTTGTGCTCTGACTGCTCCAATGCCTGTCCAGCTCCCTGCTTGTGGCCTGGGAGGACAGTGGAGGACAGCCCAAAGCCTTGAGACCCTGCACCTTCATGGGAGACCCAGAAGAAGCTCCTGGCTCCTGGCTTCGGATTGGCTCAGCTTTGGCCAGTGTGGCCATTTGAAGCGTGAACCAGCAGATGGAAGATCTTTGTCTCTTCTCTCTGTAAATCTGCTTTTCCAATACAGATAAATAAATCTTAGGGGGAGTGGGGGAAATATTGGAGGGCCTGGCGTGGTAGCCTAATGGCTAAAGTCCTTGCCTTGCACACGTCGGGTTCCCATATGGGCACCGGTTCTAATCCTGATGCCCCGCTTCCCAACCAGCTTCCTGCTTGTGGTCTGGGAGAGCAGTCAAGGATGGCCCAAAGCCTTGGGACCTTGAACCCATGTGGGAGACCTAGAAGAAGTTCCTGGCTCCTTGCTTTGGATCGGTGCAACTCCGGCCGTTGTGGTCACTTGGGAAGTGAACCATTGGACAGAAAATCTTCCTCTCTGTCTCTCCTCCTTTCTGTATATCTGCCTTTCCAATAAAAATAAGTAAGTCTTAAAAATAAATAAATAAAATTTAAAAAAGGAATTTTATATATATATGAGACCTTTTGCAAAGTATACCAGAGAACCCCAACATACAGAGTAGCTTAAAGCTTATGTAATATTGTGAAGCATTTGTAAGTCCAAACTTAACTAACAAACAAACAGAGTTACAGAGAGTGATGGAGAAACAGATTGTCCACCTGCTGGTTCACTCCCAAAGTGGCTGCCTCAGCTGGGACTGAGTCAGACTGAACCAGGAGCCAGAAGTCCTTCCTGGTCTCCCTCATAGGTGGTAGGGGTCCAAGCACTTGGGTCACACATCATCGTGGAGCTGGATCAGAAGACGACCCGCCTGGACTCAAAGCGGCCCTCTGATATGGAATGCCGGCATGACAATCAGCAGCTCAATCAACTGTGCTACAGTGCTGACCCCAAGTCTAAATATAAACAAACAGACAAACAAGTGTTTATTTATTTGAAAGGCAGAACTAGAGATAGGAGAAGACAGAGATCGTGTCTCTGCTAGTTCACTCCCCAAATGGCCACAATGACTGGAGCTTGGGCAGACCAAGAACCTAGAGCTTCTTCCACGTCTCCCACAGGGATGGCAGGGACCCAGGCACCCGGGTCATCCTCTGCTGTCCTTCCAGGAGCATCAGCAGAGAACTGGATCAGAAGTGGAGCAGCCTGGATTCAAACTGGCACGCATATGGGATGCTGGCAGTGCGGGCTGTGGTTTAACATGCGGAACCACAGCACTGACTTCCAAATTCTTAAACTTTATAGATCAATTTTTAGAAAATGAGACTGGCTTGTTGTTATCTTGGATTTTGTTTTCACAAGAAAGGCAGTCGGGTGAGTAAAATAGTAAACAGGAAGTCTGGAGAAGGTTCAGAAAAATAGGACAGATGCACGCGAGTGCGGAGGGAAAGGCATAGGCGGGGCAGAGGGGGACCCACCTGGCTCAGTACCAGGGCTGGTCTTGGCCACCACCGACTCCCACGCCTATTATTTTATGCTCAAAAACTTCGATCTTGGAGTTTGTGAACAACAGTTGTGGTTCTAGAAGCCTTGGCATTCAGGTTATTTTGTGTCTTCTGTTTTGGTTGTACACTCCACAGAAGTAGGTACGGTAAGAGTGGGTTTTTGAAATCTGAGCTTGCATGTCAATGACAGAGATGGCAGCAGGAGAGTAATGTAATCTAAACCAAATGACTTCACCTCCCACGAATGCATTTACAATATGTTAAATTTTGGCATTATAACATTCAGCAATATGAACATATGGTTCAAAAAAAGAACTGGGCCCAGTGCAATAGCCTAGTGGCTGAAGTGCCCCTTGCATGTGATGGGATCCTGTATGGGCACTGGCTCATCTCCCAGCAGACCCACTTCCCATCCAGCTCCCTGCTTGTGGCCTGGGAAAGCAGTTGAGGATGGCCCAAGGCATTGGGACCCTGCACTAGCGTGGGAGACCCGGAGGAGGCTCCTGGCTTCGGACAGGTTTAGTTTAGTTCAAGCCATTGCAGCCGCTTGGGGAGTGAATCAGCAGACAGAAGATCTTCCTCTCAGTTTCTCCTCCTCTCTGTATATCTGTATATCTGGGCTGTCCTCGACTGCTTTCCCAGGCCACAAGCAGGGAGCTGGATGGGAAGCTGGATGGCCGGGATTAGAACCAGCGCCTATATGGGATCCTGGAGCCTGCAAAGCAAGGACTTTAACCACTACGCTATTGCGCTGGGCCCTCCAGCAGGTTTGAATGAAACACCACCCTACCTAAAGACACAGAAATGGGGGCTGTCGCATCACTTCTCATTTTAATATCATATGGTGGCATTTCTATAACTGAAGAAAGACCGTTTCTCAAAAAATTGTAAAAAAAAAAAAATGACCGCTCAACTCAAACCAGATGCTTGTTTTACTGCTTTTTTGTTCATTTGCTTTATTTATTTGAAACAGTGACAGAATCTTCTAGCTGCTGGTTTACCTTTCAAATGGCCATAACTTTTGGAGCTGTTCTGTGTCGCGGCTGGAAGCTTAGAACTCCATCCAGGTCTCCAGCATGGGTGGCAGGGTCCCAAACACTTGAGCCGTCATTCTCTGATCTGTCAGGTGTGTTAGCAGGAAGCAGGATTGGAAGCAGAGGATTCAGTCACACCAGTATGGGGTATCAGGATCGGGAATGGCAGCTTAACCCACTGTACCCCAACACTAGCCCCTGAATTGCTTCCCAGTTCCAGCTCTTGATGGCTGCAGGAGTTCAGATGCAGGTGTAGTTGACATTTAAAAGACTCAGTCGGTGTTCCAGCACGCATTCAATGTCAGGATACTCAGTTTTGCACAGAGCATAGAGGAAAGGTAAATGCTTAGGAGAGAATTGTTTGAAAACAGCTGTAAGACACGATGCCATGTTCGGCATTTAACATATGCACGAATATTTCACGCTACTCCAAGAAGAAATTTAGCATTATTGCTTTTACTTTAATGACATCTAAGACTTTATAGATGCTTAGAACATGTTAGAAATGAACTTTATAAAATCAATAAATCGGAATATATTAAACTGTGCAAGTTCTATGCATCAAAAGACACTATTAAGAACATGGAAAGGTAATTCACACAGCAAAAGTATTTGTAATACTCGTTCGATAAACATTGGCATTGAGAATAGGTTCCTACAGAGCCTTCAAAAGGGTAGAAAAATGGGCAAAATATTTTAATGTACACTTTACAGAGGAGAATATCCTGATGTCCAATAAACATGAAAAATGCCTCATTTCAGTCATAGTTATCTGGAAATTAAAACCACAATGCCAAACAATTACACCAGATCAGAGTGACTAAAGTAGAAGACAAAATATTAAGCGTCGGTGTGGAGATGGAGCAAAGAGACCTCACACACTGCTGGCAATGACCTTGGGAAACTCGTGCACCCTGTGTATTACTGCTGAACGTGTATATGCTTTTGAACTGACCCTACCTCTTCACAGGGGCTGTGTGTGAGAGGGGTGTCTGGTGAGGCTTCCCTAACACAGCGCCACAGATTGGGTGCCTGCTAGGAACTTAGGCTGGGAATTGCAGAGTCCAAGTTCTTCCT